ATATTGAACAATAAATAGAATATTTTAAAGTAGTGACTGTAAATTAAACTAAAGTGAATCAACGGGTGATGAGGTGTGGAGCTTACCATGTGTGGCATGCCATCACAGTGCATATCTTTGGCAGTCGTTGAGGCTTTTTAGTCAGCGTCCTTCTAGGAGCAGCGCTCGCCACTCTGCAGCGCTCACAGTGTGAATGAACAGAGAGCCAAAACTATAATCTCCTTCAAGTAGAAGCGAAATGGGACGCGGTCTTCTGGGGGCCAAAGAGCTAAAAGCCAACTGATCCTGGAAAGAAGAGAAATGAAACCAAGAAACGAGGCCTGAGCTCGCAGCCACAACACAGGACAAAAGGTTTGCATCAGCCAAAGTGCCACAAACCTCCTACCACGTCCCAGCGCACGGTAACCAAAGCTTTCTCCTGCTGTGCTTCCAGTCAGCCGTCCAACAGCCTGTTTCTAACTGTGCTGTCCCGACCTTTGACCTTTAACATGGAAGTTAAATGTAAAACAGATGTTTGTTCTTTCAAAGCAGAGATGAGACAATCAGCCTTTAGGCCTGAACCCTCACATACATCGAGCCATGTCTCTATTTATCTCATCATAGTGCATCAGAGGTAGTTTAACACGTGAGTCCGTGCATTAGAACATCTCTGATCCCAACTGGGTGGAAATGGGAGCCTCCAGCTGGAACTGGTTTAAATCCGGATCTCTGGTGATCCTGTCCTTCACTTTCCTTTCCTAACCCGGACTAACCCACTCTCCTCTTCTTCTTCTTCTCTTCCTTCCTTTGACTCAACACCCCCACCCCCAAACCCTCTCCTGACTCCACCCACCATCACGCCTTCCACCTTTTCCTTTTATCTTCCCTTCACTGTTTTTACTCAGTATTTTCCTCCAATCCCGTCTCCTCCTCTCCCTCCCTCTCCCCCACCGCTCCAGTGCATCACCACGTTAACCCTTCTCTCCGTCCTCCTCCTCTCTGTCTCCCATTCTGTCTGCCAGCAGGAGGAAGACGAGGAGGAGGAGGAGGAAGAGCAGCAGGAGAGGGCCAAGCGCTCTCGCAGAAGCGGCACCCCCCGTCGCCCTGGAGATCGCTGGATGCTGCGGGGCCCCATCGAGTACGTCCCCCCTGCCAGCGTGGAGGTGTTGCTGCGGCGCCAAGCCATCCCGCTGGATGAGAACGAGGGCATCTACGTCAGGGACATCAAAACGGGAAAGGTAGGAGTGGCCTCAGCGTTCCCAGCCCCGCCTCTTTACATTGTCTTATATTTAGCAGAACGCTAAATATAACGCTAAGAGTCCTTAAACCTTCCTCGTGACCAGCAGGGGGCGACTCCTGCTGGTAAAGATTGCCTCAGCTCATCATCATCACAGGACCCTCAGTGCAGAGCGTTTAGGGTTTTCCTTTTATGTGTCACGTGTCTGTAAATGATTGATGATCGTGGTCAATGCCATAGCAACGTATTGCTGGTCTGCAGGTGCGCGCGGTGATTGGTCACACCTACATGCTGACTCACGACGAGGAGCTGTGGGAGAAGGACCTTCCTCCGAACGTCGAGGCCCTGCTGGGCGCTCGTCTCGACCCGCTTGCCGACCGCTCAGACCGCGGCCAGCAGGCACCGGCCGCCCCGAGGGAGAAGACCAGGGTGGTGTCCTTCAGGGTGCCCCACAACGCCGCCGTGCAGGTCTACGACTACAGGGAGAAGAAAGCCAGGTGGGCGCTGCTGTGCGTTGGAGTTGGATGAAGCTGAACTGCTGGTGCTGATGGTGGTTTTGTCTGCAGGGTGGTGTTTGGACCGGAGATGGTGATGCTGGGACCCGACGAGCAGTTCACCGTGCTGTCGCTGTCTGGGGACAAGCCAAAGAGGGCCAACGTCATCAAGGCCATCTGCCTCCTGCTGGGGCCCGACTTCTTCACCGACATCATCACCATCGAGACGGCCGACCACGCCCGGCTGCAGCTGCAGCTCTCCTACAACTGGTAAGCGCACGCTTGTGTGAGTCCGTGGAGAGGCCGGTTCACAGCACAGCAGCATGATCTCTGACTGCTCCGGGTTTTTAAAAAAAAAAAGTGCATTTCCGGGTTAAAGCGCCGACAAACACAGACGCCTCTCAGTTCTAAGTGTTTCTTACCTTGGCTCCTCCCCCTCTCCCTTGCAGGCACTTCGAGGTGAAGTCTCGGGCGGACGCAGCCAACGCCGCGGCCGTGTTTTCGGTCCCCGACTTTGTGGGCGACGCCTGTAAAGCCATCGCATCGCGGATCCGTGGAGCTGTCGCCTCGGTGCAGTTTGATGATTTCCACAAGGTTTGTATCGGAACATCCAGCCTGTGATATCCTGATGCTTTTACATTCAGAATGAAATGAAATCACCAACTGATGAAGAACAAGCCGGTCTGCAGGTCAGGCCGACCGACATCCATCTCTGTGTTTGTGTTCTGGGACTTTGCTCGAGCAGCTTTGCATGATTCAGTTCGAAATAATCCTTCTTTGTCTCACACTGAACCTGAGAGCAGCCTGTGAAACGAGCTGTTTTACCCCCAGACCGGCGCAGGTTGGAGTCGTTTTCTCCTCATAATTAATGTCAGCTGAGTGTACTCAGGCTTGATAAGAACAAATGACTAAAGTAAAATATTAGAGTCGAAAATGTGCCTCCATCTGTTGTGGTGGGAGTCGCACAGGTCACAAGATTCAAATAGAAATATCAGATCTTCCCTTCAGCACCGTCTCTGTGGATCATAACTGCTCAGTTCATGTCCGAGTACAACGAATCGTTTAAAAATCCCAGATTCTGATGTGATCGTTGAGCCAACGTGTTTCTTCTGCAGAACTCAAACCGGATCATCTGCTCGGCCGTGTTCGGCTTCGATGAGAAGATGCAGGTTCGCTCGAGTCTTCGCTTCAGCCAGAACAACCTGGTGATCAGCAGCGTGGACATCCAGTCCGTGGAGCCCGTCGACCAGCGCACACGAGATGCCCTGCAGAAGAGCGTCCAGCTGGCCATCGAGATCACCACCAACTCCCAGGAAGCGGCTGCACGGTCCGACGCAGACACACACACACACACACACACACACACACACACACACACACACACACACACAGCATCAATGAGACGTCGCAGCTTCATGAGGTTTGCTTGTGTGCAGACACGAGGCCGAGCGTCTGGAGCAGGAGGCCCGGGGGAAGCTGGAGAGGCAGCGCATCACCGACCAGGCCGAGGCGGAGCGAGCCAGGAAGGAGCTGCTGGAGCTGGAGGCGCTCAGGTGAAGCCAGACGCCACCAGCAGGAGAAAATCAGAGCGTTAGATGGCTCTTAAATATCTTCTCAAGGTCACAGGATGCAAACAAACCACGACGCCTAACGTTATCAATTATGAGACTTCGACATGTTTTATGTCTGTCGTCACATTTTTGTCCGATTTTTAAAGATCAGCTTGGAGCTGCTTCCATGAGGCAGAGCTCGAGTGTAACACACAAAGACTCTGACAGACTCCAACCGTCAGAACTAATTTACAACAAACTGCAGACAAAACTAAAAGTGTGCGTGTGTGTGTGTGTTTCAGCGCGGCGGTGGAGAGCACCGGAGCGGCGAAGGCTGAAGCTCAGTCTCGGGCGGAGGCGGCTCGGATTCAGGGAGAGGCGGCGGTCAGTGAGGCCAAACTGAAGGCCGAGGCTCAGAGGATCGAGGCGGTACGTTCACACTTCCTCCCTTTCAGTATAAAACATGTCAGTAAAATCTGCCGCCTGCTTTAAAGTAACGAGTCGGCATCAAACGCTGACTCACAGCTCAGTGATTCACCAAAAAGATTAAAAGTGAGCTTGAAATAGAGTTCAAGGGTCGAATGATGTCACACCGATTAATCCAGTTTACATGAACAACAACACAAAGACTTTGTGCTGGATGGATTTAACCTCGCCGTCTGAAAGAAGGCGTCGGCTCACGAGTCCCAGTTTAAATGGATTCAAAAGAAAAAGTGACGCCGCGGAGTCGAAGCTGTCCAAGTCAAAAAGAAGAAGCTGGCAAATTATCGCGCAGATCTAAACAGCTGTGTTAAAAAATTCTCTCTCGTCTCCATGGCGATATTTTCTCTGTCACGTGTTTTGGCTGTCGTCTCTTCGTTGTAGTATTTCTGTCGTAGCGCTACGTCAAAGTTTTCCCTCATCTGTCTTATCTGCTCCATCTCCACACCAGCTTTATTCAGTTTAATTCAGCCTCGAGGTGCTTTTTATTGTAAGGTCGACCCTATATGTCTCTGTAATGTGTGTGTGTGTGCAGGAGGCGGAGCTGCAGCGCCTGGCGAAGGCTCGTGAGCAGGAGCTGAGCTATAAGAAGGAGATCGACCATCTGGAGGTGGAGAAGCAGCAGCGGCTGGCTGAGATCGAGAGTCAGCGCTTCAAGCAGATGATGGAGAGTTTGGGCAGCGAGACGCTGAAGGAGATCGCCAGAGCCGGCCCCGAGATGCAGGTACAACACCCACGCCGCTGACACCACACCCACGCCGCTGACACCACACCCACGCCGCTGACACCACACCCACGCCGCTCACACCACACCCACGAACATGAAATGCTCCGAATTATTTTAAGAATAAGAAAGACTCTGCTGAGAGTCTACGCCACACACAAGCTGATTATGTGTTTATTATAATAAACATTATTGTGTTTATTAAAGCAAAAAGGTTTTTTCTGCTCTTTTTGTAGACGTCTGACAACAGGTTTCATTTCACTGAGCCATTGCTTTTATTTTGAAAAACCACACCATACTTGTTAACCGACCACCGAGCGAGAGTAAAACTAGAAGCACGCGTGTTTCAGACCAGACGCACGAGACTTTGTTTCAAAGATCTGTGTTTGAAAACGTGTAACTGAAGGCGACGCGCTCGCCATCGAGCTTCAACCTCAGTGGTCTGTGTACGAACGGCGTGATGATGAATAAGGCGCGACGTTGAACTGCAGCACAGACTCATTACAGTCTGTCTATTGAAGATTTATTAACGCAGTCTTTGCTTTTAATTTGCGCTTGTTTACTTTTCCATCACATCGCTCGCCTGACTCGGACGCTGGCCGCTTTTTGCAGCGTTTGCTCGAATAATAAACGTGATAATGAATTAAAACAAATTCGAGATTGTTTGCAGATGAACCAGAGTAACGTTTATCGTCTCATTTAAACCTCCTACTGCTGCGCAGGTGTTTATGCTGTCTTATAATGGGGGGGTTATTTTAAAAATAAGGTTTTAAGCCTTGTTTTAATTTCTCTTGTTTTTGCTGCTGCTGAGCTTAAAACTGTCTGCACTGGTTTGTTTCCTCCAGGTGAAGATGCTCCAGTCTCTGGGGCTCAAGTCCACCCTCATCACGGACGGCTCGTCTCCCATCAACCTCTTCACCACAGCCAACGGCCTGCTGGGGGCGCTGCCGGGTCAGGGACAGGCCCAGTGAGGAAGAGGAGGGGAACAGATGTGAAAGTAAACCTCAGCAGATCTTCTCTCTTGTTTCTGTTACTGCCGACTTCTCAGTGATTTCATTCAGTTTCTGCAGCCGTCAAACAAAACCCATCTTTTAGCCTCGTTCATCGGCTCTGTGCAAAGAAATGTTTCTTTTTAATCATTTAAGCCCAAATTTGTTTAACTTAACACGAGTGTGAAGCAGGAAACGTTAGACTGACGAGGCTCAGAAACATGAAGCTGATGCACCTGAAGGACACAGACCCTCATCACATCTCGTTTTTTAGACTCGTCATCGACTAGTTTAGAACAACTGACTTTTCAAAATAAGAGCCAGAGGAACAAATATGAAAGCACAACACCTGATGGTTCAGTGGGACAAAGGTCACTGATGAAGACGACTCCTGACATTTAGGAATTTCTTTCTGTTGTTTTCTTTATTTTTCAGGTTCAACATTGGAGGTCGTGACGGGTTTTTTCCACCTATCATACAATATGTTAAAGTTCAATATTAAAGCGATGTGTGCTGGCCAGAGGAAGTGAGGTGCGCACGTGTCGGAGAACCCGCAGCGAAGATGTCGTTCACCGTCCCACGCTGACAGCCAAAGATTTGTTCCTACTGAGCACTTTTTCTCCCAAAGCTAAAAATGCTGTTTACAGATGTTGACTCTGGTGTGTGGATGTCTCTGCCTTACAAAGTGCTCATGTTCTTCCTTCTGTGGTTTTTTCACTGAAGCAATATTAAAACTGACGTCCTCCGCTGTGCCCGTGTTTTATTTTCATGAGCTGCTCTGATTCGCCAATAATGAGCAAACAAAAGCTCCAAACGCTCAGTTCATGACCGTGTTTCTACTCCCGGCCCTGTGTGAGGTCATGGGGTGTCCGCTCTCTGGGTTCAAATGTTCCTCCAGTCCAAAAGCAAAGCGTCCTCACCTTCAGCTCCAAAGGGTCACGTGTTCTCTCAGCTGTTACAATAAAGTCAAACAAAGGTTTGTTTTCCATCTAAATCTGATACGCCCCGTTCTGATTGAAGGATGTATGAAACGGGGTCAGTGAAGCCCAGGACGAGGGGGCAACTGTGCTCATTAAAAGGTCAGGTTGTGGGTCACTGATGGGTGGAGACAGACGGCATCATGTGACAGGAAGAAGGTGGCGAGAGCGGGCAAAGTTCAGCATAGAGAAGGTCCGAGATGATCATGTAGGTTACTCGCCAGATGTTGTTTGAGCACACTGCAAACAGTGGCTAACTCAGCCACACAAGTCCCGCCCACCTGTTCATCAGTCAATCAGAAGAAAGTCTCAAAGGTCAAAGAGCACACGAAGGCCTGGCGTAAAACAAGCAGGGATGATTTTGAGCCGCGACCCACGCAAAGCCAAAGAGCGAGGCGTGGCCCGTTTAATCCACCTGAGAAAATCCACCTGAAGGATCTACTTGGTCTTCTCCATTTGGCCACAGGTTCTCATCCACATCACATCTTATGTCATCCAGGGCAACACACCTAGGAAAGAATCTTCTGGCTGCCAGAATTGAAGGAGTTGAAAAATTGAAGGAGTAACACCTGTGCAGATGTTCATCTACAATGAGGATCAGCTGTGGCTGGTTAAACTGCATGTTTAGATTTAAAATATGTTTCAATAAAATATTGCTGTTGCATTTTGCTCTTTTCAAGTTTTGCATTGTGTTATTGTTTTGGCCATAAGTTTAACAGTTTTGGAAACAGTATGTAAGCACATGCAAAATGTCCTGTACGTACAAAGATTGTTGGCAGTTGTTGTGTCTGAGTGAGAAGATGATTCATGAAATTTGAGAGATGTAGTCATTGAATGCATTTTGTGCCAAAACAATGATAACTGGTCCTCAGTTTAGCCCACATAGACTTCTGTTGTGCTCACTGTGTGAGGAGTTTTGCAAACGTGACCTGAGTATTGAGACATGTGTCCTAGCGTCTGTAAAAAACTGTAATAGTTATATATTATTGTTAAGGGGCACAGACAGGACTCCGCACGCACACACACATAAAAAAAAGTTGCCTCAACAAAAGGGCACTTTGGGCACCCATCAGGAAAGGGGCGGGTGCTCAAGCCCCTCTAGCCCCCCCTCTGCACGTGCCTGACCCTAAGACCTGACCAACTTGGGTGGCCAAGCTTCTGCTGGTCTAGCTTTTAGGGTCACTGAGACACGCAAACCCCCCCGACTACATTATGGTGGTAATCCCTCAGGGGGAAACTGATTTCAGTCAGGTTTCAGAGCTCATCACAGCACAGAAACAGCTTTGAAAACCGCTAATTTAAATAAAAGTAAAACAAAGTAGCCCAAGTTATAAAGAAAAAGGCAAATTCACCAAGTCTTGAAATATAAAAGTGAAAAATAGAAATACAGAATAAAATAAAATATCTTTACAACCAACAACATAAAATCTATCTTAATTACATGACCTTATTTTGCAAAAATGAAATGAGAATAAAATCAGACATTCAATTTATGGACTCTCAAATTAACAGAGTCGCATTAAACGCGCCTCACTGCCTGCCGTAGCTGCACCTCAAAGGTTGGATTTAACCAAAGTCCCGCAATTAAAGGAAATTAAAAAAAATGTTTCTAACAGATACAGTGAAGAACATTAAAATCGTTCACTGTCAGTTACAGCCGCTATGACCCTGACGCCCTGCCTACTGAGAAACCTACCCCCGGGTCATCTGCATACTAACAGTGATTGGCTGAGGGCGGGTGAGCATGCGCACAAACACAACCGCGGTAAAGTGAGCCGTCATTTGTGAGCCGCGGTCAAGCCAGCCGCCTCTTATCCGCCTCATAAATTTCCTTGCGCTTTTACACCAGTCTTTACGGTAGCGCCTTTTCGCTTTATATGCCGATTGAAAGCTTAGACCCGAACACTCACACGCGCACACAAATTACAATGGAACAGCCCAATACAGTCAATACAATTAAGGAAATGTCAGAAATTCATTAAAAATCATCCTGAGTAGTTGAGGTCCAACTTTCAACAGATTCCTTCTCCGGGACACCTCCTGTACCCGTGTGCCAAGTTTCAGCCAGATTCACTGTACAATTCCTCAAAAATTAAAGGACATTTATATGCAATTTTTATAAATTATAAATGCATTATAAAATTATAAATGCAATTTTTGAAAATTGACATAATTCTATTGTATTGACTGTATTGAATTGTATATAAATGTCCTTTAATTTCTGAGGAATTTTACAGTGAATCTGGCTGAAACCTGGCACACAGGTACAGGAGGTGTCCCGGAGAAGGAATCTGTTGAAAGTTGGACCTCAACTACTCAGGATGATTTTTAATGAATTTCTGAAATAGACATAATTGTATTGACTGTATTGGGCTGTTCCATTGTAATTTGTGTGTGCGCGCGTGCGTGTGACTGTTCGCGCGCGCGTGTGACTGTTCGCGCGCGCGCACGTGTGCGCGAGTATAGGCTTTCAATCAGGATATAAAGCGAAAAGGCGCTACCGTAAAGACTGGTGTAAAAGCGCAAGGAAATTTATGCGGCGGATAGGAGGCGGCTGGCTTGACTGCGGCTCACAAATGACGGCTCACTTTACCGCGGTCAAACACAGCACGGAGCGAAAGAGCGAAAGAGATGTGAAATATGTCATCTCATGTGTGCCTTTTCTAGCGGTTTTGCAGCTACTGTAGTGAATCGTGTCCATGTTCAGTTTGGTGGTAAACTATTATTTTCGTTCTCAACTTGTAAAAGTTTGACTTGAGCGGGCAGGATGTTTGTTTGAGGGGGCAACTTGGCCCAGTGTAGCCCGGCACAGAATGAACAGGTGAGATTGGGATCACTGGGACCATCTTCATCGTTTATTTCACGTCATTTTGAGTTTTGCATCTGGGTTGGGTTTGGGATCACCAGCTTCACGTCACAGTGACGTTTAAACGTTGAGAGTGATCAGAGAGGAAACCGATGTTTCAGGCGCCATCAGCAGACGCTCCAGCTCCAGCTCTGGGCAGCGTACTGAACACTGGGGCTTGTGCTCCCGTGTGTCCACTAGAGGGAGCTCACAGAGTTCTCTGTTGGTGATCATGCTGTGGCGTGTCCCAGGTGAGGTTGTAGATTTTAAAGCTGCACATAGGCTGAAGCTATCACACTTAAGGAGCAATGAAACAATTACAGCTTTACTCCGAATATTACAACGTGTCTTTGTACTCCCCACAGATCCACTGGATCTAAATGAAAATGATCGATCCTGTGCAGAGCCACCATGGTTTTCTGCATGTTTGAAATTTCGGACATGTGAACACAGGACCCCCCGCTGGAGCCCCCAGTGGACAATAGAGGAACTGCAGGTTTCAGTCCCGGTGTTTGCAAACGCTCATGCTTTCTCTGCACAGCGACCCCGATCACACCGATCAGCCTGAGCGACAGAGAGGCACGCGTGTGAAAGAGCATGTTTTTAGTCTGTTATTAGGACGGACTCGATCGCAGGCACGTCAGGGCGAGCAGCTCTGCAGAGACGAGGTGGCTCCTCTTTAACTCAATTCATCGACCCTGTAATTGAATCAGGAGAGGATAATGAAATCCCTCAAGGTTGACTCTAACTCTCTCCAACTGTCTCCTCTCCTTCAGGTTCCTCTTCATCTTCTGTTATCGACCCATCGCCCTCTGCTGGCTCCGCGTTTGCGTGGATATCCAGGATTCATCGATAAATCAGCTGATCGATGCCACAGAAACCCTGAGTAGTAAACGGCGAGCGTCACAGTCAGACTGAGAACAGAGACGTGTGTTTGTGCAGCGACTTTTCAGTAGAAATGAATCTTGATTCATTAAGAAACTGACAGAAAATTAACTGGTGACTCACTCAGTCCTGCACTAATCTAATCTTTCCTCCACGTAGGACTTTGTGTCAGATTTGCTCTTTTTCACATTTTTAATAGACTCGTGAAATGTTTATGTTCTGACTCTTCTTTTTTCTCTTACTTGAAAAAACAATAAGATCCAGAAACACAATGGTTCATGACATCCAACAATCGCGTTATATTTTCAGAATGATGCCAGAAACACTCAGCGTTCACCTCAGCGTCTCTCTGCAGAGAGGTCGGCATCTTCCAGGCGACCAGTCGGGACCTGTGTGTTCTTCACATCTACCAGATCCAAGCTGAAGCGAACACAGCAACATTCACTGCAGGTTCGACTTCAGCCTGTAACCAGCATCACGCAGAGAAACACATCTGAGAGCATCTTCCTGCATATATTATGCACTTTGTGCTCATTTAATTCCTTGTTTGTTCTGTATCTGCTGCTTTCCTGTGTATCAGTGACAGCTGTCTGCTTGCATACGTAGTACTTGCTTTGGTCCTATTTCTATTATCTTCCTTTTATTCTCTATGTTACTTGTTAAGCATACCCTTGGTTTTAAGTGTGCTTTATAAATAAAGTTTATTATTATTATTATTATTCCTGATAACCAATCGGGAGGCCACATCGAGGACAATCCAAAGACCTGAATCTCCTGAGTGCATTTTAAAATCACCACCCTGTGAGCCAGCGAGCGCCACGCGGGCACAGATTCACCCTCCTCAGATCCTCAGCAGGGAGCCAGACGGCAGCGGCGTCACGCTAAGCTCCAGAATGCTCGCCAAGGTGACATGAAGGCAGGCGAACGCAGAGAAACCAAATGCACCTCATAAGCACCCAAAGCACAGATTTACTGCACAGCTGCACAGAAAACGCTCCGCGGCAATAACAGCCCAAGAAGAAGAAGATCAGAAGCACCCAGCG